TAGGAACCCACCTCTGTTAGGGGCCCAACAGGAAGGAGATGTCAGAGCGAGGGGAGACATGATAGCAGTGTTCTGATATCTCAGGGGCTGCCACAAAGAAGAGGGAGTCAAGCTATTCTCCAAAGTACTTGAAGGCAAGACAAGAAGCAAGGGATGGAAACTGTCGCAGCACATTCTCCTACCACCCCAGAGAGAGAAGCAGCAAAAGAACTAAGGAGGAATTTCCTGATAGTGAGAACAATTAATCAGTGGAATGAATTGGATGGGTACTCTTAACACTGTGGGGTTTTAAAAAGAGATCTGATAACCCTTTTTTCGTCTGAAATGCTAGAGCAGTGTTTCTCAACCTTGGCAACTTGAAGATGTCTGGACTTCAACTGGGGAATTCGCTGGCTGGGGAATTCCTGGAGTTGAAGTCCAGACATCTTCAAGTTGCCACGGTTGAGAAACACTGTGCTAGAGGGTTTCCTGCTTGAGTAGGGGGTTGGACTAGAGGACCTCAAAGGTTCCCTTCCCGCTCTGTTGTCCTGTTCAACTGTACCGCATTAGATTCGCAACTTGGTGAAGCCCTGCTGAGGCCAACAGGGCTTAGCTGCAAACAGATGTGGCCGGATTGCAGCCCAGATGTTCCACATCCAAGACGAATTGCCGAAGGGATACAGGAAGAAGAGGAGGAGGAGGAGGACGGAGTGAGTTGCCTCCTTCTCGGGGAAAAAAAAATAACACTGGGATTGCACTTGGAAACTTGGAGCCCGTCGGAATTTGGACTTACAACTGGGAAGCAGATGCAATGCTATCATCATTACAGCCAGCGGAAAGATGAAGGTGGCAGCGGAGGGGGATGATCCCCCCCCCTGCTTTGTGAGCCAACCGCTTTCATCTCTGGAACCTAAGTCTGGCCAGCTTGACAAACACAGAACAAAAATCAATTACAGCGCTCCATCCAGCAGTGTTTATAACTCGTGACACAGGCTTGGAGGCCGTTCTCTAGGCGCCCCCTCCCTCTCTCTCCACCACCCCCCCCAACCCCGTTCCAAAGGGACTCTTGTCCCGGTTCCAGGCAGAATTCCTGCCTCCTGCCATGTAATCAACGCCATTCCAAAACGGTTTCGTTCCGTTGCAGGGCTGGAAGGATTTGCACGGTGCTTTTGTTTTGTTTTTTTTTAAAAAAGAAACTTAAGTTTTATATAGCGCTCCAAATGTAAATAACAAAGGGCGTCCTTCGGCTGAGTTTTAGAGATTTGCTGCAGGGAGTTTGATGAGCCATGTGCAGAGACAGCTTCCACCACCACCCCTCCCCTCCCACCTCATTCGGGCTCCAAATAATCTTCAAAGGATCTTTTTGGCTTTATGGAAACTCAGCGCTGGAAGGGGGCTCTGAGTCCAAGCTCTTTTTTTTTTCCGCGCAGAAATCCACATTCACGGTTTTCTGGGCAATTGGTCCTCCCTTGAAATGTTCTTGTTTTGATGGGGCACTTCCCTAATTTTCCGTCGGGCCCTGGTTTCCTGTAACGGTTCCACCACAAAACCGCGGTCGACTAAAGCGCGCTTGACGAAACCGCGTACCTGACGTCATCACAGCGCGACGAAAAAAGCACGCTGTGAGCGGTAAAGCTAACCTTAACCCTAACCCTAACCCTAACCCTAACCCTAACCCTAACCCT